AAGAAGAATCCTGCAGACATATATAGATATGTATTTATGCATGCATGCAAATATATACATACATATTGCTGCTGCTGCTGCTGCTGCTCCTGCTGCTGTTGCTGTTGCTGTTTGCTGCTGCTGCTGCTGCTGCTTACATGCGATTTTGTTTTATCTGAGCTTCTTCCTTTATCTCCGCTGCTGCTGCTGCTGCTGCTGCTGCTGCTGCTGCCATATTTATGTTTATCTTTGCTGCTGCTGTCTTTCTTTGCATGCTGCTCATCTAACTCACGATCCTCACTCATATCCCTATCCTGCTGCTGCTGCTGCTGCTGCTGCTGCTGCAGCTCCTGCTGCTCTGCTGCTGCATCTGCAGCATCATCTTCTGCCTCTAATTTTCTTCGCGCTTTTCTCTCTGCACGAACTGACGGATCCTCTAAACCCTCCCACCATTCTATACACAGCAGCAGCAACAGCAGCAGCAACAGCAGCAGCAGCATAAGATGCAGCAAGAGCAGCAGATGCAGCAGCAGCAGCAATAAGGGGAGGGTGCAAAATATAACCACAAAAAAATTTGAGGAGAAAAAAAAAACAAAAAAAATCCACAAAGGAGAATTAGGGTTTAGGGTTTAGGGTTTAGGGTTTAGGGTTTAGATTACCTCCTCTTAGATCTGCCTCAATAAGTCTTCTTTTATCTTCTTGGCTTATCTCCATCTCACCAACCAACTCCCTAAATAAATAAACAAACCCTAAACCCTAAACCCTAAACCCTAATCCTAGCATTGCTATCGACAAGAAGTCAACAATCGATGCATATAACTATAGTAGATGCAAAAACCCTAAACCCTAAACCCTAAACCCTAAACCCTAGCTCACTTTTCTCTATCTACAGCCAAGTTCTGTTCTTGTATCTTCCAAGCCGCTTCACGACGAGTGAATTCTCTGATCACAAACCCTAAACCCTAAACCCTAAACCCTAAGCCCTAGACCATAAACCCTAAACCCTAAACCCTACATATATCAAGCCATATAAACCCCCCTAATAGCTGCTTGTTGTGCACACAATCAACGGAACCCTTCACTCGAGGGTTTAGAGGGTTTCTAGGGTTTAGAAGGTTTCTAGGGTTTAGGGTTTAGGGTTTAGGGTTTAGGGTTTATTACCTCTCGTATTCTGCTTCTCTTCTTCCTGCATTTTGTAATCTTTCTAACTCACGACGACTTGGACGATAATCTTCTTCAATATAACTATACACAGCAGCAGCAGCAGCAGCAGCAGCAGCAGCAGCATTATGAGCAGCAGAAGCAGCAGCAGCAGCAGCAGTATGAGCAGCAGCAGCAACAACAACAGCAGCAGCAACAGCACCACCACAGCAGCACCGGAAGAAGCAACCCTATCAGCAACACAGCAAACAGCAGCAGCAGCACCACCACCACAACCGCAAACAGCAACAGCAGCAGCAACAGCAGCAGCAGCAGCAGCAGCAGGAGGAGGAGTACTCACGTTCGTCTATCAGTCCCATCAGGGGCAATACGATAGATAGAATTCTCTGCTGCAGCAGCAATTGCTTCAGGGTCTAGCTTCCTTAGTCTATGGAAGGCGGAGCCTGCTGCTGTATCTGCTGCTGCTGCTGCTGCTGTCTTGCTGCTGCTGCTACCATTTGTTAAATTACTGCTGCTGCTACCTTGATTGCTGCTGCTGCTGCTGCTGTGAGGCTCAGGAGGTTGCGGCGGTGGCTCTACCTTTGGATCTGTTGGCTCAGCATCATCATCGTCCTATTATACACCAACAAACCCTAAACCCTAAACCCTAATAAACCCTAATAAACCCTAATAAACCCTAATAAACCCTAATAAACCCTAATAAACCCTAATAAACCCTAAAAACTCAATGCTTGCTATCCAGCCCATATAAGCAGCAGACGCACAACTATTAGCAGCAACTGCAGCAGCAACTGCAGCAGCAAGAACAGCAGCAGCAGCAGCAGTTGACGTACAGGTAGGCTAGCATTTTTTTTATCTAATATTTGCTGCACTCCTTCTCTTAATTTTTTATATTCTTCTTGAATTTCTTCCTCTACTTGTTGTCGTGTCTTCGTCTTATACTGCAGCAGCAGCAGCAGCAGCAGCAGCAGCAGCAGCAGCAGCAGTAATAACACACATATATATATATATATATACATGCATGCAATTCATGTTGCTGCTACTACTTTTACCGCTGCTGCTTCTGCTACTGCAACTGCTGCTGCTACTACTGCTGCTGCTGTTGTTGCTGTTGCTGCTGCTGTTGCTGCTGCTGCAGTAGTACGTACAGCTCGCATAGTAGCAAGAATTCTTTCCTCTGTAACTTTTGCGATCTCCGCTCTAACTTTGTCATTGCAATTCACCTACATACAAAACCCTAAACCCTAAACCCTAGAAACCCTAAACCCTAGAAACCCTAGAAACCCTATAAACCCTTAAATTATCACCAAGTATAGAAATATTAAACCCTAGACAATAAACACAAGACTGTAGGGTAAACCTATTAAACCCTTATTTTAACCCTTCTAAACCCTTCTAAACCCTAATAAACCCTAATAAACCCTAATAAACCCTAATAAACCCTAATAAACCCTTATAAACGCTAATAAAAGAAAAGAATAAGATATAATAAGAGGAAAATATTGCCGTAAATCCGCTCCTTCTCCTACCGTAGGTAATAAACCCTTGTAAACCCTAAACCGTAAACCCTAAACCCTAAATATACTTACAACAAGAAGTCTATTATGTAATTTAGTATTAATAAGAGAAGATATACATTTAGCAGCAGAAAGAGGATCAACAAAATCAACAAATCCAAATGCCGCCAATTGACCATTTATTGGATCACTCTGTCTATTCCATCGTAATACACGACCAAATTCCTAAAGGAGAGGAAGGAAGGAGAGGAAGGAAGGAGAGGAAGGAGGAAAGAGGAGGGAGAGGGAGAGAAAGGAGGAAGAGGGAGAGGGACAGGGAAAAAAAAAGAAAAAAAAATATTATATATACTTGTTTTTATATCTATTATACTCTTTTCTATCCTATAATAATATATTATATTTCTTACATAGCAGCAGCAGCAACAGCAACAGCAGCAGCAGCAGCAGCAGCAGCAGCAGCAGCAGCAGCAGCAACAGCAACAGGAGAGCAACAAACAACAGCAACAGCAATAAGAGAGCAACAAACAGCAGCAACAGCAATAAGAGAGCAACAAACAGCAACAGCAGCAACAGCAGCAGCAACAGGAGAGCAGCAAGAATGTATTACCCCTAATAGATTCCTCATAAAATCATTATCTGCATGCTTAGTTATATTGCCTATATATAATGTTGTTGCTCTCTGCTGCTGCTGCTGCTGCTGCTGCTGTTGCTGCTGCTGCTGCTGCTGCTGCTGTGGTGGTAACAGAGGACGCTGCTGCATCATAGGTGTATGGACACCGTAACCCATTGGTGCTGTCATTGGCATCCCTACACCTATACATAAATAAATAAATAAATAAATAAATAAATAAATAAATAAATAAATAAATAAATAAAATAAATAAATAAATAAATAAGGAGACAATTATACTTACCAGGGACACCTGCTACTTGATAAGGAGACACCTCATATGCCTGCAGCAAATAAATAAATAAATAAATAAATAAATAAATAAATAAATTAATTAATTAATTAATTAATTAATTAATTAAATTATTTATTTATTTATTTATTTATTTATAATTAATTAAAAAGGAGACATGCCACATAAGGGAGGAGGAGACAAAAAAAAACAAACATTTAATTGTCTTTATTGTAAATGCATGCATGCAAATCTCTGCAGCAGCAATACTGCTGTTGCTGCTGTTGCTGCTGTTGTTGCTGCTGCTGCTGCTGCAGGCAGCTCAGACGCATAGCAGCAGCAGCAGCAAATGCTGCTGCTGCTACTGCAGCAGCACAAGCAGTGAAAACAGAGGATGTTACCACCAACTGCATGGTAAGCATATCCTTAAAAAAAGACAACAACAACAAGCAGCAGCAGCAGCAGCAGCAGCAGCAGCAGCAGCAACAGCAAGAGCAGCAATAGCAACAGCAGCAATAGCAGCAGCAACAATAACAGCAGCAAGGGCAACAGCAACAGCAGCAAACGCACCTGTGGAGGCATCATCGTTGGCGCTACCCCGGCCATTGGCCTCATCCCCATCATAGTTGGGGGAATTCCCCCGTAAGGCTGCATTGCTGCTGCTGCTGCTGCTGCTGCTGCTGCTGTTGCTGCTGTTGCTGCTGCTGCTGATGTATCAGTGGTGGTGTTGCTGCTGCTGCCCTCGTGGGAAAAAGTCTTTATTAAGAAACAAATTCTTTTCTTATAAACAAATTTAAATATAAGAAGGGAAGAATAGAGAGGATACTCTGCTGCTGTGGCCTCCCGCTGCTGCTGCTGCTGCTGCTGCTGCTGCTGCAGCGGGGTACCGCCAAGATCTGCGGCTGCTGCGATTTATTTCTTACGTAACACAACAAAGCATCCCTTAGAGAAAGGACAAGTAAGAGAAAATGTTGATAAGAGAGCAGCAGCAGCAGCAGCCGCAGCAGCAGCAGCACGGCGTCGAGCAGCAGCAGCAGCAGCAGCCGCTGCCGAGCAGCAGCAGCACCGGCGTGCATGCACGACCCCCCCATCCCCCCACTCTTCTTTAGATGTTCATCGTTGCCTTAATAATAATTAGGGTTTAGGGTTTAGGGTTTAGGGTTTACACCTAAAGACCCTCTCAATAGCCGCGATCTGCGGCAAGAGCAGCTGCAGCTGCAGCAGCAACAGCAGCAGCAGCAGCAGCAGCAGCAGCAACAGCAGCCAATCCTTGGAGCTATAAGGGCCTTGCCTTCTACGTGGTCACAGGTGACCTTATCCCTTGTTATTCAGCTAGAAGCAGCAGCTGCTGCTGCTGCTGCTGCTGTTGCTGCTGTGAGAGCAGCAGCAGCAGCTCCTGTCGTCAGTAGCATATTTGAAGACGCATGCACGACCCCCCTGCAGCAGCAGCAACAGCAACAGCAGCAGCAGCAGCAGCAAATGTATGAATATAATATATAGGGACAACAGAGGAGTCTAACAAGAGCAGGAGGAGTTCCTACTTCTTGTTGCTGCTGCATGCAGCAGGCACACACCAACAGCAGCAACAGCAGCAACAGCAGCAACAGCAACAGCAGCAACAGCAACAGCAGCAACAGCAACAGCAGCAGGAAGATGCACCAATGCCGTCTGCCTCCCTACTAAAGAGCAGCAAAGAGGAGACACCTGTTATTGATCTTTCTGCTGTCTCTCCTTTGCAGCAACCCCGTCGCCGCCGCAGGCGTCTCCGTCGCCGCAGCAGCAGCAGCAGCAGCAACTGCAGCAGCAGCAGCAACAGTAGCAGCAGCTGCTACGAACTCGAATACGTCACCCGCAGCAGCAGCAGCAGCAGCATTGGCAGCAACAAGGGGACTGCGACGCAGGGAAGGAAGCTCTGCGCGCGGAGCTCAGCAAGGATAGCTAGCAGCAGCAGCAGCAGCAACAGCAGCAGCAGCAGCAGCAGCAGCAGCAAAGCTGAAGGAAGGAAAGCCTCCTCAAGGAGCAGCAGAAGCATAAAGACTTCTGCCTTATCCGAATCTAGGCGCCCTATTCGAAGCCTCGTCAGCAGCAGCAGCAGCAGCAGCAGCAGCAGCAGCAGCAACCACAGCAGCAGCAGCAGCAACAATGGTAGTATTAGCAGCAAGAGCCACATCGGTGTGGGGCTGCTGGCAGCGCATGCTGCTGCTGCTGCTGCTGCCAATGGGGATAGGACCCCCCTATGGCTACGGCCAGCTTCTTCCCCATTAAAGGTCTCCAAGGCCCCTTCTGCTGCTGCTGCTGCATGCAGCAACAGCAACAGCAGCAACAGCAACAGCAGCAGCAGCAGCAGCAGCAGCAGCAGCTTTTCGTGGTATGAAGCAGCAGCTCCCGGGTGTACAGACAACTTTCAGTTTGTTCATCCTCCTGCTAAGGTAGCAAGGGTAATTGAATTCCTTCGCCCCTTTGCTGCTGCTGCTGCTGCTCCTGATCCTGCTGCTCCTGCTGCTGCTAATGCTGCTGCTGGGCAGCAGCAGCAGCAAGTGCAGCAGCAATGGCAGCAACAGCGGGATAGGAGGATGAGGGAAGGGGAGCCTTCGGACCCCAATTCAATGGATATTGATGGACAGTTCCACAGCAGCAGCAGCAGCAGCAACAGCAGCAGCAGCAGCAGCAGCAGCAAGCCGCTGCCTCCTTGTATCTTAGTGCTGCAGGGCCCCTCTGGTTGCGGTAAGCGTTGGCTGCTGATGGCAGCAGCAGCTTCCTTAGGTCTAAATGTCTTAGAGTTCGATGAGGCTGCTGCTGCTGCTGCTGCTGCAGGCAGTAGAGCAGCAGCAGCAGCAGCAGCAACAGCAGCAACAGGAGGAGGGAGCCGATACACCGCAGGGGAGCCTTTGTCATTAGGTGCTGCTCTCTTGTCTTTCCTCTCTGAATCAAGTAGACGCCGCGCGTTACCCTTAGGCAGCAGCAGCAGCAGCAGCAAGAGCAGCAGCAGCAGCAGCAGCAGGAGTGGTGCTGCAGTAGTGCTGCTGCGGCAGCTACCTACAACTCTGCTGCAGCATTCCCCATCCTTTACGCGTCGTCTGCAGCAGCTGCTGCAGCACCGTCTACAGCCGTACGAACAGCAGCAGCAGCAGCACCCCCAACAGCAGCAGCAGCAACAGCAGCAGCAGCAGCAGCAGCAGAGGAGCGTCCAGCCCCTAGTAATATGTATAGGAGATAATTATGATGATTTGCTGCTGCTGCAGCGATTTATACAAATAAATAATTCAGGTGTATGTACAGTTAAGCTTAATCCTCCTACAGATATACAGGTTTATTTATTTATTTATTTATTTATTTATTTATTTATTTATTTATTTATTTATTTATTTATTTATTTATTTGTCTTTTTTTTGTGTGTCTTTGCTGCTGCACAGGTTAGACGTTTGCTGCAGCGAGTGCAGCAGCAAACAGTAACAGATCTACTGCAGCAGGGACGTGCTGCTGCTGCTGCACGTATTGCTGCAGCAGACACAGCAGCAATTGCTGCAGCAAGCAGAGGAGATATAAGACAGGCATTAGGTAGTCTACATCTTGCTGCTGCTGCTCCTGTTGCAGCACCTGCTGCTGCTGCTGCTGCTGCTGTTGCATCAGCAGCAGCGTCACAAACCCCTCCCCGGCGAGGAGGCGGGAGACAGAATGCTGCAGCAGCGGGAGGAGGAACAGCAGCAGCAGCAGCAGCAGCAGCAGCAGCAGCAGCAGCAGTATGGTGTAAGGATGTACAGTTGGCGTCTTTTCATGCCTTAGGGAAATTCCTCTATGGGAAAAGGCTCCCTTGCTGCACACAGCAGCAGCAGCAGCAGCAACAGCAGCAGCAGCAGCAGCAGACATTGGACTCCCTTACCCGTCAGTCCATGCTGCCGACTGCAGCAGCAGCAGCAGCAACAGCAGCAGCAGCAGCAGAGGAGACAGAACCTTCACGGGGTATTTGGGGAGGCATGGTGTGGGCTCCAGTCAATTGTAAGGCTCCTGCTGCTGCTGCTGCTGCTGCTGCTGCTCCTGCTGCAGTTGTTGCTGCTGCTGCAAGTGTACCATCCTTCAGCAGCAGTAGCTGCAACACTGCAGCAGGGAATACGATAGACGCTGCTGCTGCTGCTGCTGCTGCTGCTGCAGCGTCATCTGCTGCAGCAGCAGATGAAGGTTTGTGGGATGATGACCTCGACGACTTGCTGGCAGCAGTTGAGGAACAGCAGCAGCAACAGCTGCAGCAGCAGCAACAGCAGCAGCAGCAGCTGTTACGGGTGCACCAGCAACCGCAGCGCTTGGATTGGTCACGTGTTGCTGCTGATGCTGCTGCAGCAGTAGCAGCAGCAGCAGCAGCAGCAGCAGCACCTGAGGCTCCCGTGATCCAACAGCAGTCCCCGCACTACATACTAAATGGAGGTGAGTCTGCTGCTTCTGCTGCTGCTGCTGTTGCTGCTGCTGCTGTTACTGCTGCTGTTGTTGTTGCTGCTGCTGGTTCTGCTGCTGCTTCTGTTTGTATTGCTGCTGCTGGTGTTATTTCTATGCTTGCTGCCGCTGCTGCTGCTGCTGTACATCTTCGCTTGGTGCAACACCCTACTCTACTGTTGCTGCTGCTGCTGCTGCTGTTGTTGCTGCTGCTGCTGCAGGTACTAGTTGGTTATGGGCAGCAGGTGAATCTATCCGCAACTTTACTCCTTGTGGTTCTCCGTTGCTGCCTCCTCCTCCTGTTGCTGCTCCTTCAGCAGCAGCAGCTGCTGCTGCTGCTGCTGCAGCATCAGTAGGGGAGAAACAGCAGCAACAACAACAACAACAACAACAGCAGCAGCAGCAGCAGCAGCCACGGCAGCTAACATTCATAGAGTTATACCCTAAGCAGCAACGACCTCCTCTATACTTCTCTCCTGCTGCTGTGCTGCAGCAAACCCCCGTAGATCCTGTAGGGTTTGTGCTGCTGCTGCATGCAAATTATATACCTTTCTTTGATGATATAGAGGATGCTGCTGCTGCTGCTGCTGCATTTGCTGCTGTTGATGCTGCTGCAGCAACAGCAGCAGCAGGGAATAGATACAAAAGAAGTAACACAGGAGGAGACACATCTGCAGCAGCAGATGCATCTGCTGCTGCTGCTGCTGCAGAGTGCTGCGGCAGAGCTGTCTTAGACGCCAATCTACACCCCTGCTGTCCTTCCCGCAGCAGCAACGGCAGCAGCAGCAGCAACAGCAGCAACAGCAGCAACAGCAGCAGCAGCAGGAGCTGGGGCTTCGCCTTTAGTGGTAGTATAGTAGGGGATATAAGAAAGAAGCAGCAAGATGTTGCTGCTGCTTGGTCATCATATACCCGCAGTGTTCGTTTGCTGCTGCAGCAGCAGCATCTGCTGCCATCTGAACAGCAGCAGCAGCAGCAGCAGCAGATTGCTACAGCAGCAACAAGCTCTTCTTTTGCTGCTGCTGCTCGTGTCTTTTGGGGTTGCTGCCTAGATACATCAATAGGTGTATTTGCTGCTGATATTTTGTCTCCTTTGTGTCTCCTTTATCAGCAGCAAAGGAGACAACCTAATAAAAGACCTGCTGTTCTTGCTGCTGCTGCTGCTGCTGCTGCTGGTGGTGGTGGCTCTCTTCGATGGCCTGCAGCAGCAGCAGCAGCAGGTAGCTGCGGGGGGTTGTGCTGTTTCAGCCCCGATTGTTGGAGGTTGCTGCTGCATTGGGAAGGACCCCTGCAGCAGCACCTGCAGCAACTGCAGCAGCAGCAGCAGCAGCAGCAGCGAGGGGGGTTGTATGGGCAGCAAAAGAGGCAATGGAAGGAGACACAGGAGACAGAAGAAAATCTATTTAGCAGCAGCAGCAGCTGCTGCTGCTGCATTGCCCCTCCTTTGTCCATTCCCTGTTCTATTTGCTGCTCCTATCAGCAGCGGCAGCAGCAGCAGCAGCAGCAGCAGAGGCAGTTTGTCAACGTATTACCGTATACAGCAGCAGCAACAGCAGCAGCAGAAGCAGCAGCAGCAGCAGGAGTGCAGCAGCAGAGTATAGAAGGAGACAGTATAAAGAAGGAGACAGAAGAAATAGATGATATTGAGGATTAATAAACACAGATTATCAACTATACTATAGACAGTAGCAGCAGCAGCAGCTGCAGCTGCAGCAGCTGCAGCTGCAGCAGCTGCAGCTGCAGCTGGAGTTGCTGCTGCCGCTGCTGCATTAACTGTATTTCTTCCTAGGCACCTGTGCTATATCCGCTTACCCTTTTTAACATCATATGCAGCAGCTGCTGCTGCTGCTGCAGTAGCAGCAGCTGCAGCAGCAGCAGCAGCTGCTGCTGCTGCTGCAAGGGTCTCTATGATGAGACAACGCGAGAGCGTTAAGAGGCCCTGTTAATCTTGTACAACAAAAACATAAATAAATAAATAAATAAATAAATAAATAAATAAATAAATAAATAAATAAA